CAACCCAGCGAAGGGCACAACGCGATGCCTTCATTCCCAAATCTGGCACTGAATCCCAGATTCTGTCAAGCAACTCAAGCGGCATGTGTTCGAGGTTCACTCGACGATTCCACGGTCCATCGCCTTCCACCGTAGGGAATTCGAGATGCGACGGCCATGCTCCTGTGGCTCTTGGAAAATGCGTTGTTCCTGGGCGCTCTGAAGAAGACACAAATCGACGTTCTTGCCAAGCTGACTGTTCTGAGTCTCGACTGGTTCCACGACCTGATCCATAGTAATGCCATCTGGGTGGCGGTCCTTCCGGCTCTCTCGGGATCAGCTTTGGAGGTGTCGGAATGCGACCAAATGAAGGTGACCTTCTCCTCGACAAGCTTCTGCTCCTTCCACGCCGGTATTCTCTGCTATTGCCACGTCTTCTTCCACGATGATAGTCCCGGCTGTCTGATCGCTCTCGTCGACGTCTGTCTCTTGAACGTGATCGTCTCCTCTCGTACTCTCGCTCCTGCATTTGCTTCACCTGCTGTGTCAACAACTCAACAGTCTGTAGCAAGGCCTGTGTCGCGGCATCAGGCTGACTTGTAGCAACTGATTCACCCCTTGGTTCTGCCTGTCTTGAGGTCTCGGCCTTGTCACGACGACGAAGTTCAGCATCTTCATTGTACCGACTCTCTTCTTCGGGTGCTGATGCCTCGGCTGCTGGTGCTTCAGGTGCTGGTGCCTTGGGTGTTGCTGCAGCGAGTTGTGGGTCTGGTGATGCTGCCCTCACGGATCCTGGTCCTCTATGGGACATGGTGTGTGTCCCTTTTGGCACGGGGACTGGCGCCTTCGCCACACTCGCCGCCTTTACCACCGCTGGTCGGAGGACTGGTGGTCTTTTCGGACATGGCGGCGGCGGTAGTACTCTGGACCCGACTGGTGCCTGGGATCTTCGATCGCTCTCTCGGGATTCCACTTCCGAATCGTATACCACCAGGCCAACATGACTGTATGTTGGAGTCGCCTTCAACCCGAACTGCCTCAAAACATAGTCCCTTGACCTCAAGGCTGCTTCCAAAGCATCATGCGACTCATGCGTGCACATCGCACATTTGCCCTTGCATGTGCCGCTCACCTGGCTCCAGGAATGATCCTGGTTGGAATGCGTCAAGGTCAAGTGAGCTCTCGGGCATAGCTTGCTGAATGCCGTTGCCAACAACCAACCAAAGGATACAGATCTGTGTCTGTTCCGCCTGCAGTAGGCTATGACAGCCAGCTGTTGTCCCTTTTCATGGCAAGCCTTCAGGTGATGAAGTCCATATAGCAATGCTTCCATCGTCTTCTCGCTGCCAGTCATCCCTCGAATGATTTCCGGATGTGTACCGACATGAGATCGCAACTGCGGGTCGTGTTGAGGATCTCCAAATCCCATGCAGTCAAAGATCAACAATCGCCTCCCGGGGTCAAATTGTGCCAAGATGGGTCCCAATGTAATCAAGCTCTTGCTGCGATCAAAGCTTGCAATCTGGCCATTGAACTCCTTTCCACATGTCAGGACATGCACACAAGCAGGGTCATCCAGCGTGAAAGTGCCTCTAGTCGGGCGCTCTTCGTCAGCCATGAATGCAGTCAACTGATCTGATGGACGAATGTTGAAGCTCATGCCATAATCCGTGTTCTTTAGTTCTCGGAGTTGCTTTGGGAGTCTCTTGGACTTTAGGCTCTTGAGACCTTCTGAGAGGTTCACACATAGAAGTCCTGAGTTCCTAGCTCTGCACAGTTCAAGTTCTGCATTTCCTACATAGCACTTGGCATCACCCATAGATTTCGTGAAATGCAATGCAGCTTGAGCATGCTGTGACAAAAGCAATGGAATCTTCCCATCAACAACATGTGTCTCCATGACTCCCGGAAGTTTCGTCTCAGGGTCCAAAAAGGTCAAAGCAAATGGAATTCGACACTTGCCCAAAGTTTTGGTGTCTCCGGCGAGTCCTCGGAAAGCCTTTGAGTCACACTGCAAATCAGCTACATCATACCCAAGACGTGCATACTTGTCTTTGGCGTTTTGGATCCATGCTTGTCCACACACAGTTGCATTACATCCTTCATCCAACACAGCCCAGACTCCAGGGTCTTCCATGATGTCAACAAGACGAAGTGCGTTTTCAATTGTGGCTTCATTGAGATCCGACAACAGTCCCATGTAGCAAGTTTCCGGTGCGGCCTCTCTGATGACCTCCACGGCATTGGCAAGGATCTCGAACAGGACGCCAACCCTCACAGGTTCGCCAAATTCTAACTCACACTCAACCTCTTGTCGAAACATCTCCAAAACCTCTAGAGTTCCTTCAGCTGACATGCATGCATCGTTGATTTCATTCTCAATCATGGATGCTGTCGTGTCGAATGCATTGGTGCGCATGCCTACCATACTCTTTGCCATTGCCTCTCTCTTACGCGCCTCTTCTCGGGGCATCTCGTCAACAGTGGTTCCACACAACTTGCAGTACCAACGAGACGTGGTTTTCGAACTGCCTCGACGATCTGTGACCTCATGCTTGCATTTTGCGGGGTCGGCCGAAGGTTTGCTTTCTTTCTTCTTTCTTTCATTCTTTCCGCAGTCAAGGCATGTCTTGTTCTCAACGTAGGCATTTGAACCTTGAAATGTGAATCTGGTGCAACGTCGACATGGTTCCTCTAGCGGGGGGTTTGGTGGTTTTCCCTTGGCACTCTTGTCTCCAGTACGTCGAATTGCCTCTACTGGCACATCTGTCAATGGATGCTCTCTCAGGCTCACGTCTCCGTCCTGACTGACTTCGTAGTACGTGGTCACCCAGGTCAGAAAATCTGCCAAACAACGCGAAGGGTGCGAAATGCCTGATCCCCATTGATAGTATCCAGGATATTTGAACAACACTTCATGGTATGTCAAACCTTGGTGCTGACCAAACACGAAGACATTCTGCGAACCTTCAGGCAACAAGTCTTGTTCCATGTCCTTCTTCCTACGCGTGACCGGCGGGGACTTCTGCGGCGACCGACGGACATTTGGCTCGACCATCGAAAAGCTAGACGGTGGACTGCTGGTCACTCCTGACGACATGGATGCACGGTCTGACGGTTCGAACTCAAGCTTCTTCTTTGGGGACATCTTGTATGCCATGTAGCACGTACCATTTTCGACAGTTTGACCACTGACATCAACACACATGTACTCACCTTCAACAGAAGACTCATCATCACTCAATGCAAAATAGGCTGTGGCTTTACTCGTCGACGACGTTCCTCCAGGGGACTTGTCGTTCTGCTTGGGGAACTTGCAAGCTGGGTCTCCTGCCCAATGTCCTTTTCCTCCACAACCTTGCTAGACGTGCAATCCTGTCCTGCACGCTCAACTGTGTCTTGAACACATACTTGCCTTTCCCCTTGCTCTTTCCACCTTTCTTTCCTGAACCTTTACCTTTGCCTTTGCTTTTGCCCTTCAACTGGTCAGTCACGACAAAGGCCATCATTTGATGCTGGGCTGCGCTGCCCAGTTCCTCTGAGACATCGTTCTCTTCATCATCACATTCTCCCATTGCCATCAACGCTGTGGCAACTTCAGGGTCTTCGATATAGTCTTCATGTTCTTCATCATCTGGTTCTTCATCTTCTGCTGCGACATAAGCTTCATGCTCATAGTCGTCCTCTGCTTCTGCTTCATAGGAATCTTCATAGTCCCAAGAGTCATCTTCAACAATGTACGCAGATCTTTGCCAACTGCGCCCTTTTCCTCCTTTGTAGGAAGACTTGCCTGAAAACTTGCCTCCGCCTTTCTGCCTCCGAGGGCTCGTGTTACCAAAAGCGGACCAGCTGCGCAAGTGAATTTGTCCATGGAATTCAAGCAAGAACTTGGCGTAGACGTCAAAGGATTGGTTGTCGCCTGCAGCTGTCTTGATCATGAGCTGTTCTGTCTTGCTCAAGCCAGAACCTTCCAGAAGTAGCTCACCACGCATGGGGTCTGAAAGACTTACCCCATCATCCATCTCCAAAAGCTTCCTCCACCAACGACGTCTTCGTGAAATGTAGCTAGTCATGCTTTCTGTCGTTTGGCGAGACAAGGGACCATGTGGGAGTTGACCCACTCTGAACAACTCTCGTGCTTCTTGTTGTCGAAGTGGAAAAACTTGTGCACGGATACGCGAAATCAACTCATCGATGCCAGTTGGAGTCAACAACTTCTCCAATCCCATGTCTTGAGCCGTGAGGTATGCATCACCTCGCAGACCTTCCAACACCTTGTGAACAAGTGTTGCATACTCTGCTCCATCATCATCCAGTCCGGCAGTGCTCAGAGCTGGTTCTTCTTCTCCTGCCACGCTCTCGGACTTCGGGGTTCCAAAAGCTTCAAATCGTACCTCGTCATCCTCTGATACATCCCCAGCTTCGGTCGCATGAGTCGGCCTCCTCTGAGAACGTTCTGGTGTGGCTGATTGGCTTCCATGGCTCGAATAGGTCTTCTCTGATTTCTTCTTCGCATGCTTCTGCTTGTGCAAAGCAACGCGGACCTTGGTGCGAAATTCCCATTCGAAGAAACCATTTGGATTGCCACTGTAGATGTATGATCCGCTCTTCGTCTCCTGTGGTCCTGAGATACTTCCTCCATGGGATGTGTACCGCAGGCCAGCCAGCGACATCGCAACTCAACAAGTTTCGCAAAGCACTGGAATTACAACGGTTCGACGGATTGCGCGCAGGGTCACGCAATTGGGTTCAACGGTTGGATCCAGCGAGTCTCCCCGGGTGAGTCAGATCCTGAGGGTGCCCCTTCAGAACCTGCTCCGCTACCAGTTTGAATCTCGCACAGTTCCTTTTCGCAGTAGCGAATCAGCTCAAGGGCCCTGTTCAGCCGAAACAGCAGCGACGGTGCATCAACTGTACGCAATACACCCTGGCTACAACAGCTGAAATTCACACTTGTGAGTTCGTAGTGAATGAATCGCTTGAAGACACAGCATCAGATGAGGCCGGTTTGGACGGCTGTCCTTCTGGCTTCCTCGGGATTCGCCTCCAAGTATTTCTTGGTGTCTTGCCACTCCTGTCAACTTTTTTTGGGCAGTCGAGCAAGAAAACAGTGAACTGCCACCAGAATAGAGAGCTGCGGAAGTCAAGACTTGTGTCATCCACAGGTGTGACTGTATAAACTTGAGGGACCAGTGACTGCAGCTACTTAAGCAACATTGTGGAATCATCCCAGACGATTGGTCCCAGTCTAAGCCAAGTATTGGTTCCTTTCTCAATGCAGGCAACAAGGAGAGTTGTCGGTTGTTAAACGATCACCAATAGTAACCAATGGCAACGAGTTATAGCAACTCCATATCTACCATTCATGGATATGGCATTTGATCTTCAGATTGCAAGGCTAGCGTGGGTCGATACTGTGGACAAACAAGATGCCACGCTGGAGTAAGATCGTGTATATAACATCTATATACAGTCCACGTTCTCCGTTAAAAACAGGCTTTCAGTTGACGGGTTGAGGACATTCAGGACATGTCTTTGATGTGGAACCATAGAGCGTAGTGATGCGCAACAGGGTCATGTCCATGGGCGAAACAGTTTCCCGCAGCTCAAACAATACACTATAAATATGTGTAAGTCATGTTTGAGGGTCCTTCCAAGAAGCCTGAAGCCGCTCCCTTTTCTTCCGAAAGTCCATCTTCACAAGGGTAATTTCATGTATCTTCAAAGTTGCAACAAACACTGAACCTTAGAAGGATTTAAGTGGAACTGCAGGGAATCTATATTATGAGAGGATCTCCCAAACAAGTCAAATCAACTATGATGCCATCAGCGAATCAGCGCCACAAGGCACTGTCTGAGTATTTAGCATCTCATTCTCGATCCATTTCCATATATGTCCACCCTCCGCTATCATCCCTTTCCTGCTTCCCAGGATTGTTCCTAGGACCTAGAAGTTCATCCACGTCCATCCATGGCCATCCCACACATTTCCGGGCCCAGCCCCTGACGTCGCAGGCAGGGCCGCGCCGCAGGGCCGCGCCGCAGGGCCGCGCCGCAGGGCC